AACACATCAATTTTGAATGCAGGAAGTCACCTGCCACCACCTTACAAGGTACACTTTCACAATTTTAAAGATTTTAAATAGTTAGAAAGAACTTCCTTATATGGAAAAAATTCTGCCTCATTTTAACATTTCACCATCTGTCCAGGGTCTGTACCCTGGAACTACATGCCATGGCATCTTTCGAATCATTGAAACAGCCATCACATTACAGTTTCTTCTCCAAGCTACTGTTCCCAAACACTTTACCTTAATCCAAGGCACTTTTGAAGTTCTCACCAGAAGTACAACCTGTGGCAGATATCAAAAGTAGCCACCAGTATGACCTTCAAAACACTATCCTGATTGTCTATGAAAGACACAGATATGTGTACAAACAACTGTAGTTGAAAGCAGAATGGATTAAACAGAAGTAAACAAAATAAGTAGACCAGAACTACAATGAAATGCTATCTAAAGATGAGGAATAGAATTAACGAAGGTATTTAATAGTTTATACCATTTTTCATTTTAAGCAATTTTAAAGAAAATTTTTACTTATTTCTGTAGCTCAGTAAGCTACTCCTATTCTAAAACTGAGTTAATGCTGTCAAAAATAAACTCAAATTTCTAAGGCAACACATTTCCACGACCCATTTCTATGGTTGTGGTTAGTATTCACCTGCGAGCTGGTAATGCATCAGAGCATCTATACACAGCTTAATGGGCTCTCCTTTCAAAATTTCAGTTTATACTATTCTATATATAACTGTAATAATTCATGCCATAGTTACATGCACTCAGAAAACAGGTCAGTCCACCATTCCAATGTCCCCAAGGCAATAAGTTAGTGCTAAAAAACATTGAACTTCTTCAGAATGTAGAAGATAAAAAAAATAGAGAATGGAAAGGGTGTGGGTAGGGAGGAGAGTAAATGAACACTGGAGAAACCTGACAAACACTGTCTGAGTCAGTGGCTCCAGGTGAACACGAACAGTGAGAAGCCATGTCCACATGGTGTGATGAGAGGGTACTTTGCCTCTGTGGCTCTCCTCCCAGTAACACAGAATCCTATTCATATTCTGACAAAAATATCAGACTGATCCCAACTGAGGCGCATTCTACAAAGCACCTGACCTCAAAGCATTTTTCAAAACTCCAAGATTATGGAAAACAAGGGAAGTCTAAGAAAGCAACACAGACTACAAGAATCTAAGAGGCTAATACGACTAAATAAAATGAGATATCATAGATGGAATCCTGGGACAGAAAAAGAACAACAGGTAAATAATAGGAAACTGAATAAAGTATAAATTTTACTTAAAAATAATGTATCAATGTTGGCCACCAGTCAGGACAAATTAATGCGAGATGTTAACAATAGGGGAAACTGGGTGTGGGGTAAATAGGAACTGTATCATATCTAAAACAAAAAGTATGAATTTTTAAAAAGTAGAGGAATAAAAGCAGCTGTGGAAAACAGCAAGAGACTAAGGCTCTACAGGTATAAATGGACCTGAGGCATGAAACCACTATTTGTAATAACTCCATAAATCTATTTCCCTGAATTTCAAACAACCAATTTATAAACTATTGGGTTGCTGGAAAAGACATGATATATTTTTTCCATGTTCCTCAAAGGTCAATGACATATTGCCCGTTTTATTCAATAGCCTTTTGCCATCTTTCAGTGAGCTTCATCATTCCTCCTTTATAGAAGGACTTGTCTTACTCGGCAAAAAACTGTATAAGGTGCTGATTTACAACCTCATCTGAATTCAATGTTATACCACACAAAGAGTTTTGAAGAGAATGAACAAGTGGAAGTCTGATGGTGCAAGGTCAGGTGAGTATGGTGGATGTGGCAACACATCCCATCCAAGCTTCAATAATTTTTGACAGATGATTATATATTTTTTTAAAGATTTATTTATTTATGTATACAAGAGCTGGGGTACAGGCCAGAGGTGCGGGGAGGAGGGGGAGAGAATTCACCAGAGACAGAGTGGGGAACAGAACAGGCAGATGTACTGAAATACACTGCTCACGGGAGCAGCAGTCGAGACAGGAGAGGTCTGCTGCGCCATGTGGGTCTCCTCCCTTGCCTGGGATTGAACTCGTACTGCAGTGGCTGCGGATAGCTTCACAGTGCTGCATCTTAACTCCTTGTGCCACACTAGTGAGGCCCGACAGGTGATCATATTTGAGTGTGGTCTCATGTTGTGATGGAACACAACTCTTTCATGACTAACAAGCTGCGGATGTTTCTGGATGATGGATTTGTTCAAACTGTGCAATTGCTAACAGTACACATTTGAATTGATTATTTGGTTCCTTGGCAGGAGCTCAAAAACCATGACACCTTTCAAATCCCACCACACTGAGAGCATAACATTCCTCTGATGAATGTCTTCTTTCGATGTAGTTTGAGGTGAACCATCATGTTGGGACCAAGACCATTTGTGCACCACATTGTTGTAATCAGTCCCCTTCTCATCAGAAGAGATCAATTGCTTCAAAAAAAGGATCACTTTCCTCACATTTAATGAGCATACCACAGATGTTTATACATGCTATCAAGTGAACTTCTTTGAATTCACGAGGAACCCAAATATGGAGCTTGCTTACATATCCCAGCTTTTTCAGGTGGCCATGAGCACTTGAATGATGTATGTTCAATGTTTCTGCAATCTCTCACGTGTGCGTTTGACTCAATCAATGCCTTATTTTGTCATCATCAACTTCAGTGAGCCTCCCTGACAGAGGAGAGTCACTGAGATGAAAATCACTAGCATGGAATTTCATGAACCATTGTTGGCACTGATGTTCTTGTATAGCATTGTAACTGTAAATTTTATGCAACTTTTCACAAGCTTGATGCACATTCTTGATGCACTCTGCAAAAATGCAGAGTTTGGGCATCATGCTTCAACTTGCAAAATCTCCAAAACTAAACCAAATGGCTCCGTTTTTTTAGAATGAAACTGTAACTGTCAACGGTCAAATAACTAGCAATAACATAGATGTGAATGACTCTAATACGTCCAAAAATGAACTGGTGCCATCAGTTGCAAAAATGAGTCATGACTTTCCCAACAACCCAATACTTTAATGAATAAATTTAAATTTAAATTTTTCATTTTTGATTATCATCAATTTTTCCTAGAAAATCATTATGACAGACAAAAAGTAAGTGACATATTAATTTCTTAAGTAATCCACAAGAAAACTATGAGAAGTTTTGTAAGGAACAGATTTGATATAGACAAATTGTGGTAGAAATTGGCAGCAAAGGACAAAAAAGGCTATAGTCACTGAGTGAGCTAACTGCTTCCTAACCAAGGGAAACTCCCTTGGCATCAAAAGGACCATAAAAATATCCTCAGAGTCATTTAGATAAACAAGTTTAAATGTCTTACAATCGTGTATACACTTGTCTTTAGTGAACAGAGGAGCAAGGCAAAACAACAGTGGAAAGGATACTAACAGGACAATCGATAGTATATAGTGATTATGAGAATGGGCTCTGGTATCAGTGTGTAGAGGTTCAAACTCCAGCCCCTTTAACTCACTGTGTAACCTAAGAAAGTTATTTATCATTCAATTTATCAGTCTGTTAAACAGGGGAAGTGACTGAAATCATTTGTTGAGAATTAAATAAGACAACTCATAAAAAATAACTGAGTACAAAACTAAGTTCTCAAGAAAAGATAGTGCTTATGTATGCAAAAATGTGCGTGATTTTTGTCCTTGGATAAATTATTAGTATGTGTGTACTCCCTTTCACTTAACGACAGAAGTTATTGTCCTAAAGCTGATTTTGTAAACCCCACTGTTCATTTCTATTTCTTTTTCCTATATGTGCACTGATCCAAAATTGATCTTTATATACCATGTGACCACCATAGGCACAAAAGTGCAATTATATTGTTAAAATCAATAGAATTATATTCTGCATTAACAAAAAAAAATGTGTAATTGACAAGTTCACGTTTTAGAGTCAGAGAGATGCAAGATCCAATCCCACTTGTCATCCACTTGCTTGTTCAAGTTACAGACCCTCATTGTCATTATTTTCTCATTGTTAAAATAGTAATGAGACATAAATTTCATAAGACTGTGATGAGGATTGACTTCTAAGATGCTCAGCACATGAAACATTTCAAGTAAACATCACAGATGTACACACACACACACACACACACACACACACTCTCTCTCTCTCTCTCTCTCTCTCTCTCATACTCCTAAACTAGCCATTCTCTGTCCAATATATCACATATTTTGTCAGGTGATCTAGCATACCATTTTCAGATTTTATTTAATGTGTCTCAATGATTTACTATGGCAGGTCAACCCAAGGCACCATACCCCTGGTGTACCCAATATTTTCTAAAGGTTAAAAGTCATGGATTATTTTAACGGAATTCAACTTCCACACATTCTTTCTTAAAAATGACCTAAAATGACACCTCAATCTGTTGAGGTTCTCCCTCTGCACTGGATAAACTTCAAAGAGTGTTTTCACATTTTAACTTATCAATAACAATTTTTACAATACAATTACATTCACTGTAATTATTTAACTTACGAAGAAACAAAAATGAGATAACTTAATGGTTCTGTTAAGAGGGGAGGGAGAGCATTATCTCTGCTAATCAGGAATCCTCAAATATCCTGTAGGCGCCCTTGTTTAAATCAAGCCAGGCTCAGTAGTTTCACAGGCTCGGGACCCCGCTGGCTCGGGACCCCTTCTTTCTCTCCCACCCAAGCCCACTGCTTCCCAGAAGGCCCAGCAACCCCGGCCCCGCCCAGGGCGCCCACACCCCGCCTGCTTCTCCGCAATCTCGGCCTCGCCGCCCACCCCGGCGCATGCGCACCGTCCCCTCCCCGCCGCTGCTGAGTCACGGCCGGGCGGAAGTCACGTCGTGCCGGGAGGGGGGGCTCCTTGAGTGGGGGGCGCTTCCCCCCGGCCTCTCCCTCCCCCCCACGCCTCCCGGGGCTCCGCCGTGTGGGGGTCGTACCCTGCACTCTCCCGAACACCTCGTAGTCCACGGATTTGAGGGGCCCGGCGGTAGACATGGCGGCGGCGAGCCCTCTGCCGAGGAGCCGGAGCGGGGTTCGGGGTGCGGCGACTGCGGCCGCCGCGAGAAGGAAGGGGCACATGGGGCCGCGGGGCGCACCCCGCGCCTGGCAGCAGCCCGGGACGCGGACGCGCCGGGGTCACGCGTCGGATCCGGCAAATGAGGCGGCGGGCAGCCCCGAGGCCGGAACCGGGGCGCGGCCCGTGCTGCCCCTCTTCCCGCGCGGCGGCTGCCCGGAGCTCGGCCCGCGCTCGTCTCGCGGCCCGGGGGCGGCCGGGGCCGGCCGGGATGGCGGCAGCGTGGCGCCCAAACCATGGCTGTCCAAATGAAAGCTTTGGGGGCTTGGGAGCATTTGATTAGTGAGTCAGTTCTTAGCTTTAATTTTTATTGTTATTTTAAAATCATTTTCATTAATAGTTTAGGCGGCTGACAAGTCTGTCTGGCGGTTGTACCCAGTGCATAACATGGGGTCTGCGATGTCTTCATTGCTGAAAGTCAGAAACGCTTTGGGACTGAATATGTTCTGAATGGATTGTGACATTTTCTGGGGCAAAACAACTTCACAAATCTAAACTTTTAGACTAGTGGAACCAGAAAAAAAAGGTTGACACTCTTCACACATAAAGGTTTGGGTGTGTGTGTGTGTGTGTGTGTGTGTGTGTGTGTGATCTTGTTTAACATCCCAGTTGCCCAGGAGGTTAGGACAGTTCTCTTCCTGGTGAGCTGTCCTTCCAATTTTAGTCTATGTGCTGCCGAAGCAAACACTCCTGGTGAGCTATCAAGAAGCAACCACAAAGCAATCCACCACCAGTCCATAGACTCTGGATACACTGATATCAAAATATTGATAATCTGCCTCCTAGAATTCCAAATCACTTTATGCTAAGTGAAAGAAGTCAGGAGAAAGAATGATTTTGTTATAGGGCAGCCCTGATACAAAACCGGTTGCCTGACTGTGAGTCCACAAAGCCTGTATGGAATTAGCTCAGGACATCCTTTCCCCCTAACAATTTCACTCATAATTGGTGTGTAAAGAAACATAACAAAGGAACAGGCAACCCTCATGGCACAGCAGATCTCTCCTGCCTTACCAGCTGCCCCAACTCAGCAGTGTATTTCAGTAGATCTGTCTGTTCTGCTCCCCACTCTTCTCTGGTGGACACACACACACACACTCTCTCTCTCTCTCTCTCACACACACACACCCCCCTTATGGCTTATACCTCAGTTCTTGTACGCATAAATAAATAAATCTTAAAAAAACCAAAACAAAACACTAAACTAAACCAAATTAAAACCTGCACTCTCGGGAACAGCTTGTAGTGTCACTGTAGAATTGAAGTTACCAGAAAGGGAGGGTGGTGAGTAAGTAGGAAGGTGAGGTGGCACAATGGACTGCGGTCCGGTATTATGGGTGTCTAAGTGGTCGTCATGCTGTGGTAACATATATTTTAAGAGGTGTGAACATAGAGCACTAAATAATATAGTGGAAAACAATATTACCTCAATAAAAAATGCAATTTAAAAAATAGAATTCCAAGTCCTTTCACTTCTCAACATATATGTTGGCTTCAATACCTTTAAATATTTCTCTGGGGCTTCCCCTGGTGGCTCAGGCTGTTGAGCGCCTTGCTGTGGAGCTGTTGGCAGCCTCTGTAGCACCAGTTCAATCCGGCCAGCCAGGGAGGGTCCCCATGGCTCCGCAGACCTCTCCTGTCTTGCCCGCTGCTCCCCTCAGCAGTGCATTTCTTCAATCTGCCTTTTCTGTTCCCTGCTCTGTGTCTGGTGAATCCTCACACCCTCCTGTGCATCTGGCCTGTACCCCAGTTCTTGTATAAATAAATAAATAAATCTTTTAAACAAAATAAAGTAACAGATAATTTGGAAGTGCTAATTCAGATACTTTTATGCAGTGAAGATCCTTGTTTAGTGCAGAAACCTCAATTTATGCCTTGCTCTCCCCTCCCTTCTGGCTCATTCCATACAGTCTCTAGAATCAACTTTGACCTTATGTGACTTTTTAATGGCGTATCTTTATAGTTTCTATAAAGCATTCCAAATAAGACCAAAGGTCTTCAGCCACCACTAACCTCTTTATACCTGCTAATCCCCATCTAATAATTTGTAAATGACCTATAATGAAGACACTTTGGATTTTTCTGCTCTCTGAACACACCCTGACTTTTTCTTTTTAAATTCGTTCTTGGATCTACTTGGTCTGGAATACCTGCTACTCCTAAATCTTCCCCTATGTTGTTGAGTGACCATATTTCATCCCAATTATTTAGTGTCTTCTCCAAGTAAGATCTCAAGCTGGATTGATGTCCTGTCACTATTATTGATCTTGTCATTGACTGGGGTGGTTGACATTTTCCTTTTCTTTGATTTTTCTCCACATTTACCCAAGAGTATCTCTGCCAATTATTATGTAACTTTAATGCAGAATGTGACAGCAGCAACTGACATTTGCTTAACTAAAAAATTTACTCTGCAAACAGCAGAATATTAGGAAACAAATATTTATGTATCATTTTAGCATGGATTGCCAATAATATACGATTCTAGAAATTTGGAACTTTTAAACTCGTTACTAATGTTTAAGCTAACTTTAAATGATGGAAATATGTATGCATAATTAGAACAATGTTTGAAAGAAGGAAAAAAATCATCTATATCCCTAATTTAACATTTATCATTTTTTTATATTCTCATATACGTCTATGTTTTAAGTGGTTAAACTCATAATATCAATTCAACTTTTATTCTTTTTCCATTTTAGAGTCTTTCCAAAATATTTTAGATATTTCACAATATTCTCTTAAGTGGTTCTAACCATAAATTTACCAGCCAGGTTCCTGTTGTCACACACTCAGGTTACATTTAATGTTTCACTACCAAAAATATTAGAAGGAAAGATTCATGCAAGTAGCTTCATTCCCATATTTTTAAATTATTTAAAGTTAGACTACCACATCAAAAAATATAAGGGTGTATTGTTCTTGCTACATAATGCCAAATTATTTTTCAAAGTGCTGGACCAATTTAATATACCATTAGCAACACTGTATGAGTATATGTTTATGTGGCTTCTGGTTCAAACACGTATAAGCAAGTTCTTCACATGCTATACATGATTAAAATAGATAAAAATTTTCTTAATTTTGTAACCTGAGTAAGAACTTTAGAATAATTAAGTTTTGTGCTGCTGGCTGAATTTAAAACCTAATCAAATCATTCTCTTAACTTGACTCTTTTAAAACAATGTGTGTGATGTATAATCACGTAAAGTAATACAAAGAACAGGAAAATCCTGACTTTACAATATGGGTATAAAAATGACCAGACTCCAAAATCTGTGAAGGAGGGACAAATAACCAACCAGTTTGTGTGTTCAAATGACATTGAACTGAGGTGGTACATACAAATCTTTTCACCAACACAAAAGGTCAGTTGGGAGCCATCCCAGACGGATTTCTTAGAAATTGCATATTAAGATCTATTTCAGGGATAACTAAAATTTCTTTATCCATCAACATATTTATAACGCTGAATTTTTTTTTTTTGAGATAACATTGGTTTACAACATTTGTGTATGATTCAGAGGTGTAAGATCATACCTCCTCAGGTGCACATCACCACACCCCACTCACCACTGAGACACCTATGGTCCTACGGTTCATTGCTCTCCCTCTCCACTTTGTTTTCCCCGCTCCTCCCCATAGTCTTATAGCCTCCATTCCAGTCAGATTCTACAGTTTGTTATTGATTGGTTTCGCTGACCCTTTGTTTTGTCTCTCTATATTTCCCGAGTGAAACCATCCACTATTTGTCTTTCTCCTTCTGACTTATTTCACTTGACATTGTGGTGTGGTCTCAAATGACAAGCGTGTACTTCTTTAAAAATAGCTGAGTAGTATTGTGTTGTTTATGTATGTCACATTTTTGTAATCCATTCATAAGTCCTTGGGCATTTAGGTTGTTTCCATAACTTGGCTATTGTGAATAGTGCTGCAATGAACATAGGAGTGCAGATATCCCTTCAAATTACTGTTATTGCATTCTTCAGGAAGATACCTAGGAGTCAAAATGCTTAATCATATGGTAGATGTATTATTTAACATTTTGAGAAACCTCCATATTGTTTTCCATAGGGGACTGACAAGTCTGCATTCCAACTAAGAGTGTACAAGGCTTCCGAATTTTTCTCCCACATTCTCACCAAAACTTGCTGTTTCTGGTCTTTTGATATGGGCCATTCTCACAGGTGTGAGATGCTATCTCATTGTGGTTTTGATTTGTATTTCCATGATGATGAGCATTTTCTCATTTGCTTGTTCACATGAAATAAAAAATATTTTTTTCAAAAGTCCATTTTAATATCCTATATATTTCCATAACATTTCAAAATAAGGTTTTGCTGTACTACATGAGTAATATTATTCATTTAAAAATATTTTGTGAGACCTGGCACTCAGGGGATTGCGTCCTCACATTGCCATTGTAGAACAGGGACCTTTCTTCAGTAAAGAACTGCTTGAAAATGGCAGAAGGCTCCCTGTGGAACCAGAAGGAAAAGGTTCCCTGTGCAGTCAGAGGTGAGCTGAAGGCCCCCACAAGCCTGGTCCCACCTGGCAGGAAGATGGAAACGAGAGAGTGATCCAGTGATTTGGAACCCAGAATGCAATCCAGCTGCCCCACCTCCAGGGAAGTTTGTGGGACTTCAAGACACACCTTTGTAATTAAACACAGAAGGAGGAAATATTCTGTGACAGCGACAATTAACATACTCAAAGTACCACTGCCTCACTAGACCTCTGGCATAACAGTATTTGACTCTTTTAGACTGCCAGTTCCCAAACCCCACAAAGAGCACACCAAAAAAATGCTGGCCAGTACCAGCAACACAGTGTCCCAAGGCATACGGCAAATTAGAAAACAGGCAGTAGGGAGTAGAAAAACTACATGCAACCCAACAACTCCTCAGGAAAAAGGCACACCACAAAAAGAAAACCACCCACCAGATTGCAACGACAGTAACTTGGAAGAACTTCTGAGCCTTCCAGAAAGAGGATTTAAAATGCTGTGATTAAAAAACTGACAGAAGTCATAAAGGAAAACAATGACAAGGGAAAAATAATCAATGATCAGAAGAATGAAATTGAGTCCCTAAAG